TAAACCTACTGTAATCTATAAACAGTTGAACGTAACGAAGTGAAACGAAGTGGAGTTCAACACACCTGTAACCTATAAACCTACTGTAATCTATAAACAGTTGAACGTAACGAAGTGCAACGAAGTGGAGTTCAACACACCTGTAACCTATGAACCTACTGTAATCTATAAACAGTTGAACGTAACGAAGTGAAACGAAGTGGAGTTCAACACACCTGTAACCTATGAACCTACTGTAATCTATAAACAGTTGAACGTAACGAAGTGCAACGAAGTGGAGTTCAACACACCTGTAACCTATAAACCTACTGTAATCTATAAACAGTTGAACGTAACGAAGTGCAACGAAGTGGAGTTCAACACACCTGTAACCTATGAACCTACTGTAATCTATAAACAGTTGAACGTAACGAAGTGCAACGAAGTGGAGTTCAACACACCTGTAACCTATGAACCTACTGTAATCTATAAACAGCTGAACGTAACGAAGTGAAACGAAGTGGAGTTCAACACACCTGTAACCTATAAACCTACTGTAATCTATAAACAGTTGAACGTAACGAAGTGCAACGAAGTGGAGTTCAACACACCTGTAACCTATGAACCTACTGTAATCTATAAACAGTTGAACGTAACGAAGTGAAACGAAGTGGAGTTCAACACACCTGTAACCTATGAACCTACTGTAATCTATAAACAGTTGAACGTAACGAAGTGCAACGAAGTGGAGTTCAACACACCTGTAACCTATAAACCTACTGTAATCTATAAACAGTTGAACGTAACGAAGTGCAACGAAGTGGAGTTCAACACACCTGTAACCTATGAACCTACTGTAATCTATAAACAGTTGAACGCAACGAAGTGGAGTTCAACACACCTGTTACCTATAAATCTACTGTAATCTATAAACAGTTGAACGTAACGAAGTGCAACGAAGTGGAGTTCAACACACCTGTAACCTATGAACCTACTGTAATCTATAAACAGTTGAACGTAACGAAGTGAAACGAAGTGGAGTTCAACACACCTGTAACCTATGAACCTACTGTAATCTATAAACAGTTGAACGTAACGAAGTGCAACGAAGTGGAGTTCAACACACCTGTAACCTATAAACCTACTGTAATCTATAAACAGTTGAACGTAACGAAGTGCAACGAAGTGGAGTTCAACACACCTGTAACCTATGAACCTACTGTAATCTATAAACAGTTGAACGTAACGAAGTGCAACGAAGTGGAGTTCAACACACCTGTAACCTATGAACCTACTGTAATCTATAAACAGCTGAACGTAACGAAGTGAAACGAAGTGGAGTTCAACACACCTGTAACCTATAAACCTACTGTAATCTATAAACAGTTGAACGTAACGAAGTGCAACGAAGTGGAGTTCAACACACCTGTAACCTATGAACCTACTGTAATCTATAAACAGTTGAACGTAACGAAGTGAAACGAAGTGGAGTTCAACACACCTATAACCTATGAACCTACTGTAATCTATAAACAGTTGAACGTAACGAAGTGCAACGAAGTGGAGTTCAACACACCTGTAACCTATGAACCTACTGTAATCTATAAACAGCTGAACGTAACGAAGTGAAACGAAGTGGAGTTCAACACACCTGTAACCTATAAACCTACTGTAATCTATAAACAGTTGAACGTAACGAAGTGAAACGAAGTGGAGTTCAACACACCTGTAACCTATGAACCTACTGTAATCTATAAACAGTTGAACGTAACGAAGTGCAACGAAGTGGAGTTCAACACACCTGTAACCTATAAACCTACTGTAATCTATAAACAGTTGAACGTAACGAAGTGCAACGAAGTGGAGTTCAACACACCTGTAACCTATGAACCTACTGTAATCTATAAACAGTTGAACGCAACGAAGTGGAGTTCAACACACCTGTTACCTATAAATCTACTGTAATCTTTATTTCTCTATTTCATTAGAATAAGACTAAAAAGTAGAAAATAAAATACTTTATAAAAAAAACTTTTTAAAAAAACTACGTTTTTCGCGTAGACTAAAAAGTAGAAAATAACTTTTATTCTTGGTTGTAAAGAATTTGGTTTTAAATTTTTAGATTATATTTAATAAATTTTTATATCCTAGTCAATATTGTTCACAAAGTTTCGAATAAGTGCACTTTGATCTTATCGTATAACTCAACAACTTAAAAACGTGGGCGCATTAATTTAAGTTTATCATAAAGTATTGATTTCACTTAAACTTATTTCTCCTCTTATAATGCGCCCACGTTTTTAAGTTGTTGAGTTATACGATAAGATCAAAGTGCACTTATTCGAAACTTTGTGAACAATATTGACTAGGATATAAAAATTTATTAAATATAATCTAAAAATTTAAAACCAAATTCTTTACAACCAAGAATAAAAGTTATTTTCTACTTTTTAGTCTACGCGAAAAACGTAGTTTTTTTAAAAAGTTTTTTTTTTTTATTATCAATAGATCCAGACCTTCTTGTTTTAAATATTTATCAACTTCACCATTTGCAGTTGTGCAACAAGGCTGTTCATGGATTTGTGGTTATAACAACCTCGTTTAGTATCTGTCTCATATTTTTTAATATGTCTTACATATAAATCATCGTTTCACCGTCATTTACAATGAACCCCAAAGGAAAATCCTATAATATTGTTTTAACATCATAATCAAGCACACAGAAAGATAAACACAAAAAATGGAGGGGAATGAATAAAAAAAAACTTTAATGTTTAATAAAACAATTAATATGGATGAAAAAAATGAAACTTTTTTCCCTCTGTTTGTGAACGTTCGCGCTCTTGTTTGTTGTTGAAATAATTTTTTTTATTCTCTCTTCAAAAACTGTGACTGAAAATTTTTATGTAGCTACAATAAAGAAATAATTTAATTTAACTTTAGGGATTTTTGTTGTATATTTTTTTTGTGGGTTAATGATTTGAATAAAATTATTTGACATTGTAGACGAAAGTTTGCTAGCTTGCTTTCGTTGATGAAAATGAAGATGGAAAATTAAAATTTGAGATGTTGTATGAATAAATAATCTTGAGAGCTTTTTGGCTGGAACAAGATAGGGTCGAGAGGTTATGGAATTTTTCGTGAATGTTGGCATTTTGTGATTTTTGTTTGATTCTTTAAAGATGAAAAAAATTTGGATATTTTTCTTAAGGAATCGAACATTGTTCACACATGAAGAGCTACTGTTATCTAGTCTGTTGCCTAGCCACTCACACAACAATGGCCTTACTCTCGCACTAGCAGAATAGCTTACATAAAACACAAGGTGCGTAACCAGGGGGGGGGGGGGATTTAGAGGACAAATCGGATTTGGGGGACAGTAGTGTAATGAAAAAATCAAAAAAATCCCCACCATCCAGCTGAATTTTCCATATAAATTTTTTTTGTGCCCCCCTCTTCAAATTCCTTACGACCTTGTTTTTTCAACCCCCCCCCCCCCATCCAAATTGAAAACATTCTTACTATTTGTAACCAATTGCCATGAACCAGTAAAAGAATTTATTTACTTTATTTTCATGCAAAAGCAATCTTTTTGCGAGCAATTATATTCTGTGAATTTTAATAAAATTAATTAAAATATAATTGCACGAAAAGCTTTTTCGATTAGGTGTATGTATTTAAATGTGAAAATTTACATCCGAAATAAATTAATGAAATAATGAAATTCAATGAGGAGGTATGGCAACATCGTAATGCATTAAGCAATACACAGACTATTATGTGTATAGCCATTAATTATTGATAAATAGTTAATTAATGTTCTGTACTAATTTTAAAAATATTTTTCTTTTTCCTCAGCTTGGAGTGGATTAATATAAAATTATTTTTTTTTACTGAAAAAAAAAACACACACACAAAAAATATATAATTGACGTTTTGGGGATTATAAAATGAATGAGAATTGTGGATAATGCACACCAGAGATATAAACTATGCTGACGCATTAATGTTGTGGGAAAAAAAAGGATTCCGACTTTAATGAGCCACCAAAACCTTGATTATTATTGTTATTTCATTATCAGTCATCATGCGTATTTAATGATTTTCGGAAATGAGCTTCACGTGTCTGAAATTTTCATTCAAAATACTTTTTTTGCACCTCAAAAGCTCGTCAGTTTTCTCCCTTTCTCTCTCTCGGCGTGTTCATTAAAATTTATCAATAAACTACTTTCAGCTTCCGCTTTTTTATCCTCTTTCATATCATAATTCTCGTACTAAAATATTGAAAAAAAAATCGAGCGATGAGAGCGAGAAAAAAAAACAATTAAAAGAGTGGCGTATAAAATTTAAATAATAAATTGCCATTGCGTCATTCAATATCGCATTAACATAAATTAAACTCGCCTAGTATTATTGTCACGCCAGAAAAACCACTCATGTGGTAGCTGGACAATATAAATTCTTTTTTTGCGTTTGTTCTTGTTCAAGTTCACATTTATGATTGCTGTAAATTTCATCAATTACAAAGTTTTATTATTTTTATGTTCGAGGATGCAAGCAGAAAAATGTTGCATGGGAATATGGACGAAATTAAAGTGCCAATGTTTAGTATTTGTGCATTGTGGGAACCCTTGTCATATCTTCAACACTCTATGTCAGTGTTGTCTTATGTTTTTAAGCCACAGCACACCTAAGAGGTAAGCCATGACTAAAGTCACACACAACATGGGGCTCCGGTCTTTTCTTTTTTCTATGCAATAGTTTGATAGATCGATATCTAGTGAGAATTGAACCCAGGTCGCTACAAAGGATGATTACAGATATCTAGCCTGTTGCCTAACCATTCATCCATACACCCCTAACTCTCACACTGGCAGATTCGCCTATATATGGCACGATACCTCTGATTCCACTCTCCTCAGATGCCACAATGATGAAAATTTTTGTTTGTTTAATTTAAGTTATATTTATTGAAATAATTATTATTTTTAATTAAAACACTTCTTAAAATGTTGATTTGTCCTCAATTTTGTTATTATCGCATGATATTTATGAAATTATTTAATACATTGTCATTTTCCAATCGATTCAGAAACTTTTCTTGTTAAATCGACCGTGCTTAATTTGTTGAGATGATATTCTATCAAATGTTTTTCTGCATCTTCTTTTAAAATTGTCTCAAAATTACATTCATTCATAATTGAACACTTGTAGCGACGAGTTGACGGATCTTTAATATCTTTTAAAAATCTTTCTTTCGTCTTAATTTCCATTACTTTATTCTTATTTTGATACCACAAAGGATAAGATGATATTTTAAAATATGGTTCATGAGCTGAAATTTCGAACTTGGATCCCAGAAAATTGTCTTCAAAATATTTAGTCCATTTTAAAATTATTTCTTTATATCGATCAAACACATTTGTCAAGCTTGTTACTCCGTGAATTTTTAAATTTGTTTCTTCTACTTTTTTAAGGTCCGAACGTGTCAAAGTGTTGGTGTCTAATAAATCTATGTTGTCATCAGTTTTATAAACATCCAGTGTTCCTGTATGATTATGTTTATTTTTGCACACCTTATTGCATTCTCCACAAAAAGTTGACTCAATGTTACTCATTTCTAATAAGTAATTAGTTACAATATGTATGAAATTGTTAGTATTGCTATTCGATCGGAGTATTTCACTAACTGACAATTCTTTTGATTCATATATTGGAACAATATATAACAATCGAACATGTTTTAAATTTTCAATTTTTACCGCTCCAAAATCATTTCTTTCATTACCAATCCCAGAAAGACCCCTTCCGCATTGAACAGCTACACGTTCGCAATGGTTTCTACCGTTTGCGTCATTATAAATATAAACAGCACAAATATTGGATAGTTCTAGATCACTCTTGGCTCTATTGACATATATTTTTAAGTATCCCGAGCTGTCTTCGACAAGTTTTGCTACTGTAGACCCAACTATTCAGAAAATTGGCACACATTATCGTTTAAACATTTTTAAAAAAAAACTAGTATTTTTATACCTTTGCAAATCACACCATGTTTCTTGGTTGTATTTCCTAAAGCTTCGATGAACTTTTCTAGATCCAAAAACTAGAAAATAAATGAAGTTATAAAATAAAGGCATAAAACGTTTTGTTAAAATTACAACATACAGGATCACAAAAATGAAAATGTTCACTTAAGCTGTTAAAGTTGAGACGTTTCAAGTTGTGAACTTTATCAGCAGGAAAATGTTTTATACGATGTTTTGATCTATAATATTCAAGCTGTTCCAAGAAAGTCTTAATGTTTTCGTCTTCTATTGCGACTTTTATGTTTACTGATTTTCTCCTAGTTGTTATTTTAGCTGCTGGTCGAGCATCAATGTCTTCTACATTCTCAGAATCGTTACCAACCATATTTTCAACTCCACTTCGATCTATTTCTCCTAAATGAATGCATTCGAAATGACTGCCAAAAGTTTTCCTTTTAATGACTTTTAAAAAAATCTGATCGCGACTTTTGCAGTCACAAGAACGTTTTTGACGTGGATTTTCAAGATTTAAGTTTCGAATAATAGTAACTGACACTGTCTCTATATTTTCTTCTTCATAACATCGATTACTTATGAACATTTGTTCTAGATAAGGGTTGCGTGGATTTTCTTCATTTTGGAAAATTTCATATTGGGTGAATTGATCCCTGCGAATAATATTTCGTCGATCGATGTTTATATTATTAGCACAAGCTGGTTGAAACGTTGAATCCTCTTGATACCGAGGACGACGATTATTTGGTTCAAAACCTTCAATCCATTGACTATTACTATTTCTTTTAGAAATTCTATTAATTCTTGGGTCTCTGTTAATGGACGTTCTTTCACCCATTGATAATTAACATTCAATCTTTACTAAATTAAAGAATTAATTTGGGGCCATTCACTTATTACGTAACGCCTTTAGGGGGAGGGGGGGGTGTAAGATTTTGTTACGGTTCAAACAAGGAAATTTTTTTTTCATACAAATTTTGTTACGAGGGGGGGGGGGGGGGTCTAAGAAGTCATTTTTTCGCGTTACGTAATAAGTGAACAGCCCCTTTGTTTACGGTGGGTTTTACTTATAATCACAATATTAAACTTTAAATGCTCTGTTACACAACAATTATTAGCAATAACTTTGAAGTAGAATTTTTTAAACTAATGTAAATACCTTTAAACTAACTTTGCAATTTAATAATAAAAAAAAATAGCTTGTTTATTAAATATCACGTATGACTACTCAAGTGTAGAGCCAAGCATTGATTAAAAATTGTAAGTCAAAACGTTATCGTTTTATAATAAAACAAAAGATAAAAGATATCGGAAGTAGGTTTGAAAATGACATCAGCGATTTAAGAGGAACTAAAGCTTAAAATTCACTGATAAGACTAATCAGTTTTAATTTCATTTGCGGAATTAAGATTGTGAAATATTTTCTCCAGGTGCAGCTGGACTTTTATTTATTTTTTTATGCATTATTTGAATTGTATTGAAAACTATTAATTGACTTTATTGCTTTGTTTAAGTTTAATTAAAAGGCCTATGTAAGACAAATCAAATTAAGTTCAAAATAGTTCTAATTAAAGTTAAATATGATTTGATTAACACTGGAACTTTAATACTTTCTTTCGATAAACTATTATGATTAGGAATGATTAATAAAATCTCACAATTATAAACATTAAAAACAATCGTAAACGTTGTTTTAGCTATAGAATCTACTCGATACTGAGTTTGAACAATTTTTTTACACTCATAATTTGTTGTGTGCGAAAATACAATTGAAATCAGTGGTTCTCAAACGTAACCTAAAACATCAAACCTAAATCAAAACTTTTTCAAACACATTTTTTTAATTTTATTTTCAATCAAATATTAATTAAGAACTTGAAATTTCGCTCAAATTAGCTTTGCAGAAATAATTCTTAATCTTTCACTAGCTTTGAATAATGCCATGTTTTCAAAAATTTTCTAGATTTCCCCCTGTGAGTTGGAAAAGGGTTTCGCGTGATTGTTTCATAAATTTCAAACTTATAAGAATGCTTGAATAATGACACCGTATGACTGAATTAAAGGTGTTGTTTAGTGGAATATGAATTGTCTCCGTAGTTTCCGAAATGAAAACAAAAAGTATTGAGATGTGAGTTAAGTTTTGTTTGACGTTCATCAGTTAGGTCTGAAAATCCCATTTTATAATGAACATCATGAGTCTTAACAGAATTTTTACAGTTTTATTGATGAATATTAAATGGATCGCAAACATCTTGCGATACACAAAAACCTCTTGTTATATCTATTTCTCGCAATTGAGCGAATTGCTTAGCATTTGATTGAATTGCTATAATTTTTGTTTTTGTTTTAGTTTCACGCAGTTCTTTCTTTGCAATGGCCAGCTTCCCTTGAGCTATATTAAATTTCTTCTGAACCAAAGCTTCCTTTTTCTTTGCTGCTACCTCTTTTTTCTTTGCTGCCGCTTCTTTTTTCTTAGCTGCAGCTAATTTGTGCTTTGCCAAAGATTCCTTAATCTTCGCAGCTGCTAGTTTTTCTTTAGCATTCTTCAATTGCTGCTTAGTTTTCACTAAATTAGTGTTTTTTGATTCCCCCATTTTTTTCTTGGGCGTTTCCTTAGTTTTGATCGTTTGCAATTTTGTGTTATTAGATTTTCTTGACGATTGTGATAACAAAACCATTGTATCGCAAGAACTCAAAACATATTGATTTGAAAAATAATCCATGATGTAACTTTAGTATTTTGCTGTGTTGGTTTAGTGATTCAATGAGCTTTTGTATTTTTATCAGTAAAAAATCCAAGATTCAACTTGAGTTTATCAATTACTTGTAAGCAATAGTGCTATACTATCAAACATAAAATATTTGCATTACAAACTGTGCTGATAAAGCTTAAATGCAAAAAAAAAAATTAATTTGTTTTATTACAGCAATTTGCAATTAAAACTATTTTATTAAATTTGATATGATTTCCTCAATGCCTTGTTTGCAACTGATACTACATATGTGAATAATCAGTGCATTTTACAGCTTTGATCAAAAAATGTAGTTGAGTTCATACTTAGTCACACTTTTGACTGTCGATTACTCTGACAGACAAAGAGCACGATCTGAGCATGATTTTTAAAAATCAATATTTTAATTTGATGACGCTTAATTAGCGTACTCTCCCATACAAATGGAGATAGCAGCAGGGTACCACAGAAATCACGCTCTCAAGAGTACGCTTTTTTACTTGCAAATTTTTCATGCAAGTTAAACTTGAGAACATGATCAAGAACATGTTCTGCTGATCATGCTTTAATTTTCCCAATTAAAAAATTTATGAGCTTGTGATTATGCTCTTGATCATGTTTTTGATGAAATTGATATTTTTCTTCTTTATTGGTTATTGCCGTGATTCGAACCCGAGAACGCTGTGTTGTAGTTTGTCATGATAACTGTTTATCTTGTCTAATGCCTTCTGAAATTAAATAACTTTCGAATGGCAAAAAGACATATTTAAACTATAGAAAATAATCTCATGAGGATGTGAATGATCATGCTCTTGAGAGTACATAAAATATTATGAAGTAAAAACTTGCATGCAAGTTATTTATAATTAGAGGATGATTGAGTCCGCTGCTGAACATGCTCTTTACTGGGATCTTGAGAAGATGTTAAATAAGCGTATTCTCAACCGTACTCTTAATCAAGAGCATGCTCTTTGTCTATTAGGGTTATTTATTTAATTTTTATTTTTTTTTGGGGATTCCCAATTATTTTATTCTAAAACAAAAAAAATCGTTTAATTTAAATAAAAAAATAACTAAGATCGCATTTTTTCTTGGACGCAAACAAAGCAAAAACACTCACAGAAATTTTTCCAATTAATTTCACAAAAAGAAATTCATTTTGCGTCTTCCTGTGTCATTCAAAAACATGGAAATAAATGGATTTGTAAGGCTGCATGAAGAGTAAATAAATTAAAGCAAAAAAGGATGAAAAAAAAATCAAAATACTCTCCATGTTACTATGGTTGCTACCTCTATTGTTCATTGTTCTCTCATATCATTCATAAAGAAAATGAATGGAAGTTTTTCTCATTCATTGTTTGACGTAAGGATTCATTACTACTCTGTTGATTACGATGATGATGATGATGTAATGAAATCAGGGGGAAAATATATTTTTTGTGTAGGTTTTTTTTTTATATAAAAGATGAGATTGAGAAAGACGAAAAATTTAATGAATAAACTTTTTGTTCAGCCTTTGACATGCACAAAGCACAAAAAAAATTCTCTCAAAGTCAACCGTTGTCAATCATTAAATGTAAATAACGACATTAAAGTTCACAGCCTTTCTTTATATTCTTATTCTATTATAATTAATTTTCTTTTTTATATCCATTCTTTTCAGATATTAATCTCTCAGGTGATCTAGAGCCGGAGTTTGAAGGCACAATTCAAAATGTCACTTTTCCAGCGGGACGAGAGGCTGTTCTCACATGTTCCGTACGGAATCTTGGTAGATATAAGGTAAAAGTTTATTTTCTTTTTCATTTTATTGACATACTAATCCATAATTTATTCATCACTTCGTGTTGCTTGGCTGCTGTAGGTTGGATGGTTACGTGCAAGTGATCAAACGGTGCTAGCGTTAGAGGAACGTGTCGTAACACACAATGTTAGAATTAGTGTCGTTCATGAGGACATGCGAACATGGAGATTGCGTATAAAGCAGCTTCGTGAATCCGATCGCGGTATGTTCTTTTCAATTTTATGATTCCTACTAATTCAATCCTCATGGGCAATTGTTCTCTTCTCTATTTCAATGTACAACAGGATGTTATATGTGCCAAATCAATGCTAGTCCAATGAAGAAGCAAATAGGATGCATAGATGTACAAGGTAAGCTAGAATTTGTGATGTATTGTTTTTTGATGAGAAATTAAATGTTTAAAGCACTCAGAAGATAAAATGTTTAGATTGTGCCTGACTCAAGGAAGGGGGGACTCGAACCATTTCTTAACTGCACCCCTAAGTTTAAAAAGTCCACTCCTCATTTTCCATCGCACTCCATCTCTCAATTCAAATGAAATTTATCTAGGGCAATATCTTGCATTTCTTTTCATCCATACCTTATTCCAATGCCATTTCACATCTATCTCTGAATAGATTTTAAATTCTAATAACAAACATGACAGATGCACACTATAGTGGTGGGGAAGGACGACATGACAGGATGAATATAAAAAAAAATCCAGAGGCATTTTAATGGCATCATAAAAAAAAAGCTTATTCAGTTGAGGCTGTTTAGTGCATAAAAATTCCAATAGCTGGTAAAACAGAGAAAGAATGGAAATAGAAAAAAAATGTCATGTTTATTTTCGTGTTCTGCAACGATGATGACTATTTTGTTTTTGCAATTTTTCACCCTGAAGGTTAAACGAAGGTAGGAATAGATTAAAGGGAAACTAGTAAAAAGATCGCCAGTACTTTGGATCTGGGCGACTTCAGCGTATTTTCCTCTTACTGATCAGTAAACTTAGTTGTAACTCAAAATCGTTTGAGGGCCTTAATTTTTCGTACCAGATCTTTAATAGTTCGTTCCAGATTTTTATTTTAAAGATCTGGTAGCATTTAAAACATGTCCCGTATCAAAAACATAAATTCAGTAGCTCTACAGTCATAGTCAACCCCTAAAACAAAGATCCAGTAGCTTTACATTCACATCCATCATTAAAAATAAAGAACTAGTAACTCTAATGTCATATCCAACACCAAAAACTAGGATCCAGTAACTCAAAACTCATATCCAACACCATCAACAAAGATCCCATAACTTCAATGTCATGTCTAACACCAAAAACAAAGATCCAGTAACTCTAATGTCATATCCAACACCAATAACAAAGATACAGTAACTCTAGAGTCATATCCAATCCCAAAAACTAAGATCCAGTAACTCAAAACTCATTTCCAATCCCAAAAACTAAGATCCAGTAACTCTAAACTCATATTCAACACCATCAACAAAGATCCAGTAACTCTAATGTCATATCCAACACCTATAACTAAGATCCCGTAACTTCAATGTCATGTCTAACACCAAAAACAAAGATCCAGTAACTCTAATGTCATATCCAACACCAATAACAAAGATACAGTAACTCTAGAGTCATATCCAATCCCAAAAACTAAGATCCAGTAACTCAAAACTCATTTCCAATCCCAAAAACTAAGATCCAGTAACTTAAAACTCATATCCAACACCATTAACAAAGATCCAGTTACTCTAATGTCATATCCAACACCAAAAACAAAGATCCAGTAGCTCTTTAGTCATATCCAACACCAAAAACAAAGATCCAGTAACTCTAATGTCATATCCAACACCAATAACAAAGATACAGTAACTCTAAAGTCATATCCAATCCCAAAAACGAAGATCCAGAAACTCAAAAACTAAAATCCAGTTACGTTACATGAAGCAACGTTCAAAATTTTAACGGCTATTTTGAAATTTGAAATTGTTTTATCAAACTCGTATGTTATGCAAAAGTCGGCTAAGTCGTTGCAAAAAACATATAAAAGTTAATTTAATTAAGTTTTGGTAAGAAGTTATGAAACATAAAGCGGATTCGGTTTGCCTACAATATGGCAAGGATTGAATGCAAAAAATCCGAAGGCTCTATATGCTTTCATTGCTGAGATCTCACGGTACCAGCCAGCCAGCCAGCCAGCCAGCCAAAGTGAAGATAAAAGCGTATTGTTCCTTAGGAAAATACGCTAAAAATTGCATGTTTAGGAATAGGATTAACAACAAAAAAAATGGAACTATTGTTTTCATTCGAATCACTGATTTTATGGAGGCTCAATTTCGTCAGCAACGAGTAATTTACAGTTGATGTATATCAAGCTGTTTGCAATAGTCATTTGATGTTCGACCGACTTGCGTACTTTTGAAAAATAATAAAGCCTACACACTACATTTGAGCTGAACTAATAATTAAAATGTCACGTAATTAAGCACTTACATCATTAATGAAAAAGAATCTCTTGTGCTGATCTTTCAAAGACAATAGATTAACGTAAATTGTGTTTTTATTGTTTATTTAATAATGTCAATGAAGAAACTCCCACACAATCCTGATGTTACGTCTACTTTGTGTTGGCATAACCGAGATGTTTTCTTTTCGCACTGAATATGAAAATTGATATTGCTCCCACTTTGTCTGTACGTCGGTTTGTTTCTTAAATTAGTCCCTGTAATTATCATATCGGCTTATTTTTTGGAAGATAATTATTTCTTGACTATTCGATGTTTGGATATTTTTAAGGACTTGTCAATTTTTCCAAGAGAAATCTTTATTAAAAGACAAAGGACATGTCATTCTACATATTATACTTTATCGGCAGTACGTCAAACAGTTTAGAAACTATAGGACTAAGAAACCAGAAAGCTTCACAACAAGAATTAAGCTCTGGAAACTTAATACTTTTGAAATCTATTTTTGGAACTAAAATGGAATTTTTTTTTAAAATATTCTAAGAATAGTAAAAATAATTTTTAACTTTAGAATCTAAAGTTTAAATTTTGGAGTTATCAAAGCTTTTTTGGTAAAATTAAATTCAATTGATGTTTTGAAAAAATATATTTATTGCTAGAAGCGTAGAGCCAGAGGTGCTTTTGAGGAGGGAGTTGGGGGGATTTTTGTGGATGATAGATTTATTTTAAAACAATCAGCCCATTTCAAAAAATTATGACTTTGCACCAGTTTGAGCTTGATTGTTAAGACTGTTACATATGTTGGCTATTTTATTAAATAAACAATGATGAAGCAGGGGCGTAGTTAGTGAGAATGTCATTGATGAGATAGAATCATAAGTTTGTTACACCGCCCTTGGTTGGAATCCGCAAGGAAAAGACACCTTAAAGCTCTAAAAGCTACATTGCAAAGAACAGTGATGAAAGAATGTCAGCTTAATGTGCGGGCAGACAAAATTGTACAAACTAGGGGACAGAGCCAGCAAAAGAGTCAGATGAAAGACCTTTTGTTGTAACCTAAGCTCCACATAAGAACATGGTTACAGTAAGGGGCGTAGCCAGGAACTTGGAAGGGGGAGAAGGGGGGATAAAAATATTTTTATATTGTTTGGACAATTTAAATGTGGAGAGGGGGTAGTTTAGGATAGTTTCATAAAAACCCTACTAAAATGAAGAGCTGTCTGTTGAAGATGGGAGATCAAAAATAGGCTATAAGCTACACGCCTGCGATGGAGAGGATGTAAGTCAAAAGTCACTCAGTTCTTATCTTAATAAGTAAATGACTTCTTATGTTGTCGTTTCTATAAAAATTCAATTGCACAAAATAGAAGCAAACTGTAAATAGTTCAAAGTAAAGGCATGCATCCATAAAATTTAGTCTCCAAAATCAAATGAAGCGCATACAAGCGTTGGCAGTGGAAAAAACTCAATTTAGAATTTTTACACATTTTTATTTTTTTTTTTTTCACGGGATGAATAGAAGCATCAGCGGATGCATACTAATCCTGAATATTCGTATGTCGAAATTAAATTTTGTAGGCATTGTAGTGAGCGAGAATTCGAAGGCAGCAGTGCTAGAATCGGTAAAATATAAAATATAAAAATTCATAACACGTTTATTTACATGATAGAATACCAATATGGATGTATATTGATGGAAGCATATAAATCTGTGAATAATACAGTTACGAGAGAATCTCAACGTTAATCCACATCCAGAATATGAAAACATTTTTTTTTCGGTTGTTCATTATACCTCCGAGACTTGGTGGATTTATATAAATCACATGACATATCGGACAGTGGTTTCATGCTGCTCATCAATTTTTCACAAATTTCCTCTGTTATGAGTTCATTAAAATTGTGAAATGAAGCAAAAAAAAAATATTTTTCTTGTATTTAAATATTGATTGATTAATTCGTTTTATTCGCTGGCTTTATTGAAAGCCGCCTATTCTTCATGATAATGATGATAAATCTGCATTGAATCTCCTTAAACAATTATAATCAATCAATACATTTAATAAGTAAATGGTGGAAATGAAATATACCGAAAATTCTCGTCTTTATATCCTTTATGCTATAAAATGTGGATGGAGATATAGAAAATCGGGTTAAGGTTGTAGAGTTTGGAAATGAGAGTAATCAGAGACAATGGAGAGAAACTTGGTGGTAACTTCCATAAGATTTGTACAGACAAGTGTTATACAAACTGTGTCGTGTAAGATTTTCTATAGCCAAAGTGTGCTGTGGTTCATAAAGGTTGGACACTAGTGGTTTCCACCAGCGTTGTTCAAACTTTTTGGAGGACACTTGGTGCAAACCTGGTGAAGAGCCATGGCAAAAACTGCACACAGCATACAGTTCGAATAAAATCCAAAAAGTCCACAGCACACGGGTTGAGCGTCACTGGAATAGAAGTTCCCAACTTATTCGTCCACACGAATAAATATAAAGCTATGTAATGTAATGACTAGACTAGATAGGTTTTAAACCCCCCCCCCCACCCCCCCCCCCCCCCCACTTAAATCAATTTAAAATAAATTCCGAAAATGTAAAACTTTAGTTTTTGAATTAAAGAAATTCTAAGAACTATAATCAAAGTTATCAACCCTTGCTTTTAAATCGTAAATTTCCAAAAACAGAAACTTTTTCCGATTACGAATTATGGTTTTACGAGATTTTCAATACCAAGCGTTCGTTTCCAAAAGATTAATGTTTTCCTATCGATTTTTAATTAATTTTCATTTTTCGTACATAAGCGAGGAAAGAAGGAAACACTGGAAGTAGAATGAGAGATATTGGGAATTGAAATTTTACGATGTTTAATGTGCGAGTTGATGACAAAAAATTTTTTTTTGCGATAAAACACGAAAAGTTTGTTGGTAAAAGTTTTAAGGAATTTATTGAACTAAAATTTTGGTTGCATGTGAAGTTTTTTTTTAATTACTCGCTATAAATTTTAATGGAGGTATGGCAGAGATAATTTGAATTTATTTGAAATGTCACAAATGAGTTGAAAAGTTTTTTGTGTTTCTAGGACAACTTTAAAGTATTGATTTCTTGATGAGACTGTGCATTACAGTTTGAAATTGTAATAACAAGTTGGAATTTTGAACGTTTACTCAAATACATGTCACTAGGCTAGGGGCCCTTAAAGTATCTCAATTTTTGGATGAAAATATTTAATTCCTGAGGGGTTGCTGACGTATGACGTCCAGCAAAACATAATTTTCAGATCTTCCTTCACTCTTTGTCAAAAAATATATAAGAAAAAAATTTCCTTTGTTTGAATTGTAAAAAAATTCTAACCCCCCCCCTTGCCCCCTAAATGCCAGACGTCATAAATGAACGACCCCTGATCTGATTTCAATTTCGTTAATCAATTTGATTCTCGTTCACTTACTCAATTTATAAAAACATTTTCAATCAAATTGCAGACATCCACAATTTAATTTATCAGCGGTATTTTTAACATCCAGAGAATTTAAGCTCAATGGAGCTGCTGAATTTATCCTAGAATTATAAAATATGATCACTTTGTTACAATCTCTATGGACTTTTTAATGACATAAATATTGCTGAGTTTACAGTCTGGATTCTCACTTGCCAACAATATCAACTTTATTCTGTTGTCAACTTTTCTTTATTCCTCTGGATGGATAACATTTTGTTTTATTTTTAAAAGTAAGAAGCTTAAATTTCCCAAATGTATTGTTACTAACATGATAAACAAGAGGAGCTTGTATGATACAGAGGAGGATAGAAACAAGAATGTTTTTTTTTGTGTTTATCAGAAAATAATTTACACAATTTCTTTGATTTTTCGGAAATTAGAAATTAAAATTTGAATTCTATAGAGAGAGATTAGGATTTAAATTTGTTTTTTAGTGATAATTTGTATTTAGTTTTTCATAGTAAAATTTACTTTTTAACTCAACTTTGGAATTAAAATTTCAATTTTCTATATTAGTCTTTCAAAATCATCAAAGATGAAATCATCACAGATCCGGAAATTGAAAAAATGATGTAAAACAAGTACATAAATGTTTGCTATGACAAACATGCTATCATCATGTATGTTCATGTTATATTATATTATATATTGGCAAAAGTAAATATCATGAAATGATCAATTATGATGTATGAGATTTTATTACGAGTGCTAAAGAAGGAACGATTTCATCTTATCCTTAATTTTGGGATAGTCCTAGAAATACAATAGAAATCCAACACAATTTGATTTTACTGGGCGAAAAAGACCCTTGCTTCAACCTGACAACCCTTGATTCGAGCTCCATAACTTTTTTAATCGAAAAACTCTCTTTGAAGAACTTCTGGCTGCGCTACTTTCTCACAAACCCTTTGAGGCTGACATGACTTCAATAACACCAAATGGCACAGCTAGGGAATGATTTTAATGGACACACACTCTTCTGATTAATATTTAATACAAATTTGTCTTGTTTGAGAAAGCAGGAAAAAAATAAGCAGGAGCGTAGTGTTTAGAGTGTTGGCTAACCAACACTTACGACTCTGGTTCGATTCCAAGGAATGTCTAGTCAAATTTTAGCTCTTTTTTGCTGTACTAGTCTTGGTAACTCGGTTTTGAGCGTTTTGTGATGCATAAACTGTAGCTAGGTACAATGTATTAATATACATTTAGTCATGCAATTGTGCGGAGTTGCAAGAATCAATATGTCTGTATGAACAAAATCAATTTGTAGGTTTAGACCAAAATCATATTGCTTCGATGGTCATTTCATCAAAAATCAATAAATATAGACAATAAGTCAATATTTAAGATGGAATAAGCAGCCGCTTGAACATTTAAAATATATTATAAGATTAAGTTGTAATATTAAAATATAGAACTAAAATTAACGTATTGTTTTTGTATAAAAAAGTCATGCTTAAGAAACAAAAATCTAAAATCAAAAGAATCAAGCAAACACGACCTTTTTTCCCTAAGATTAATTCACAAGTTTTCATGATTTCATTAATTTTTGATCCATAAAACAATTCTCAACAAGATCAACTCCCAACAAACATTCAAATGAATCTAATTTCTTCCTCTTTATGATGGTAATTAAGTTCCTATTAATATAAATAATATCCTGAGTAAATCGTCTAAGAAAAATTTCTTGACTGTTGCGCCTTTACTAAAGACTCTCTTTTTTTCACTTCATAAATTTTAATTGCTTTTCATGTCTGCTTTTTTTGCTCTCCTTGAGAAATAAATTCATTTTCACATTCACTAAAGAGCCCTTTTAAAAGTGCTCTTAAATACGTGTAAGAGTAGCATAAGTTAAATATTACTGGCTGGAGCTTCTTAAACATATTCTCGCTGAAAAAAAAAATCCAACCCCAATTTTTCATGCACACATAATCACATCAAAATACATTTGAGTTGATTTTCTCGTGCCTTATTTTTTTTTCAACCCCTTAAAAAAATAAAGAAGGAAATTCGAAATTTTAAAGTCGATTGATTTCGAATGGCTATTAGTATATGGATATGTCTTATCCTTTTTCTCAATAAGTATGTGTACCGATATCGATATGTTGATACAAGAAGAAATCTAAGACAGTCGTGAGTGTATTGATTTGCTGTCATTTTCTTGACATAGGTTCATTCCTTCTGCCGATATTATATTATACTACATTATGGAGAGAAGATGAAGATAGTCGGGGTGGCAATAAATATAAAGTTAATTTTTAATGTAGATTTAACTTCATTGGTGTGCCTTCATGTCTGTGGGTTATGGCGAGTGTATTGGAAAAGAGTCAGCATGTCATGCACACACTCATTTATGCCTTTCACCAATTTTTATGTTTTTCTGACCTTTTTTTTTGTTCCTCCTTGCTCCATATCAATAGACATTTATATTTAATAAGATTTCTTTTCCTTTTTGTCGCATTCATTTCAGTTCCACCGGACATCATTAATGAGGACTCATCAACAGATATTGCCGTGCAAGAAGGTGAAGATGCTACATTAATATGTCGCGCGACAGGACATCCACAGCCTCGAGTTGTTTGGCGTCGAGAGGATGGCGAGCATATTTTCATGAGGAAATCTAGTGGTGGGAAGGAACTTATGAAACGTAAGTTTTTTTGAGTCTTTTTCATACTGATTTAATTTTTTTTTGACAAAGTGTAAAAATTAAAAATGATGCGACAACTTATGATTGCGATGGATTTATTAATATGTTATTCCTTAGGCGTGATTTTGATGGGATGCTAGGATTTTGTATCAAAATTAAAGATTTTTGGCTCGATGAGGGCTCTTGGCTCGATGTGGGCTCTTGGCTTCACCTTTGAGTACCAATGATCATCAAATCTCACGTTTAAAAACCGCCCCAAAACCCACAAAAGCTACAAAATAATTCGAGTAGAAATTGTGTCAATAATGCAGCATATGCACTTTGAAATCATCCCACATACCTTTAAAAATACACATCAAACATAATCTGATTATAAAAAAGAAGCTTCAATATTCAGACACACTCAAATTATATTTATGTTGTGGCTTTATAATATTGGTCATTTACGTCTCCATATGGGAATAAATAGACACACAAAAAATCAAGCGTGATCGCATTTTAAATTGGTTTTTGCATTCAATGTGGCTTTTTTGATAAAATATGTGCGGATGAAAAAAAAAGCTTGTTGAGCTGTTGTTCAAATATTAAAAGAACGTACATGGACATGGACAGTGGTAAATTGACAGAGAATTTATTAATTTAAAATTTTTATGAAAAGTATAAAATGGATTTTAGGCAACTGCAGGCTTTTATTCATTTTTTTGCACTCAGAAATACTTTTAACATAAAAAAGTACTTTTAATGGATGAATTTCAAAGTGGCTCGTTGCACTGAATGCATTAAAAAAATTTATTTAATGAAATTTCGAGGAAAGTCGTTTTGTGAGTTGTTAAAAGGTTTTAATGTCCTCGTTATGTTTTTTTCAATCAAAGTTATTATTTTTATGGTCCTCGAGTGACATAATAAGATGAAGTTTAAACCATAACAACTCAAGTTTAATAAATTAAATTTGTATTTGAAAATTTTATAAGCTCTTTTCAAAGAACCTCAACAACGATCTTAGTCAAGTGAATTTGGTACCGTGGAGATGTTGTGTTAGATGAAATGTGTGGATTTAAAAGTGTGTTGTGGGAGTTGAAGTCTGACGATATTTCATGATGTGATTATGATTTACATTACGTTGAAAAACGTGAATAATTCTTTTGAGAATGACCTTGCAAGGCAATAATGTGAAATTTCATTTGGTAATTCCTTATCTGACCATCATTTTGAATGAAATGCGAGGCATGTTCCGATATTAGCTTTCAATACTAATCTTGATTCTAAAACTTTGCGAAAATTCACCCCCCTCCCCCAACCTTTCTTGTCAAATGCCTTACTTAAAAAGTGAACGACCTTCCAAAATTTTATACATAAAATGCTCATATTCGACCTAATCTATTTAAAAAGCTTCTCATAAATAACTTTTCCAAGCCATTATATGTCCAATAATTCACTTTATATCCTTCTATAAATAAATTTTTAAATTGATGTAAATAAAAAGCCTTAAAATAGGTGTAAGCGAATCGAGTTTATTTATTTAAGAAAAGGGTAAATCGAAATCCTTTCTATTTTGATTACCAAAAAGGACTATTGTATGAGAGAAAGGTATGGAAATTTTAAGATTCATGTCATTTCAATATCAATCGATTGTGTTATTTAACTTAATTCATCTATTCACATTCAACTAAATCTCTTCCTTTGAAATTCGAATGAATTTTTTTTCCCCCTAAACGAATTTCAATGTGCGTCTAGTCAAAAACATTTTTGAGGCAACATTCTTCAAACATTTCTCATCTTCGGTCCGCATAAAATGTTGTGGTAAATATTTTCAAATTCCATAAAATCTCCGAAAAAAAATTCCACATTAAGTTTATATTTTATTATACGATCTTCTTCCTTCGAATACTTTATGAAGTAGAAAAGGAGCAAGCAGGATGAAAACAATTTGAATTCAAAGATAATCTTGTTCATTTTCTTTAAAATACAATTCATAAAAATATCTCAAAAAAATATCTTAGATCTCTCGTTTATTTATTTGATATATGAAAATTTATAGCATACAATAAAGAGCAAAGGAATAATGGAAAAAAGTATCTGAGATTTTTTTTTGATGTTTCTTGCTTCTTTTTGTTGCTTGAGAGAGATTTAGATTCTGTGTAATTTATTGGTGATAAAATTAGGTGGGAGGTGGGGGGTGGGGGGGTTTGAGATATAGGAATTTAAAAGTAAAATTGTAGTTTGGCTATGAATGTCTATTGTTAGGTCTATAAGGTTATATTAGTAGTTGGATCTACTTAACCGCATCTAGTGCAAACAAGTTGTAGCTATGGACATCAAATGATCCTCTTTGTAATTTCAAAAAATGTTCGAAAGAAGAAATTCACCCAATAATTCATCCCAAGTGGGAATCGAACCTTGCACTTTTCTTTTGTCGGTCAAGTGCACAGACCACTAAACTATTGTGCTTTGCCATTGGAACTGGCAATTTGCTAATACATTTGAACCACTTTCTGCTCTAGAGCTTATAACCTTAGTGTCTCATAAATTTATCTCATAATCGCAGTAGAAGCCATATGAGTTCAGGTTCAAAAGATGAACTCTGGTGCTTATCAACAGGCTGGGCACTCTCAACATTACTTTCTAGGTCCTTGTAGATTCAACCCTGAGCGACAAAAAGTTTATGTTGACATTGTGGCGACGTTAAAGCGATATCTTGTTGAATTTCTTCGTCCACAAAAACTTCACATTGCTACCATGTCAACATAAACTCTTTATCGCTCAGGAGGTCTTTAAAATGCTATCACAACCAACCGACACATTTTTATGAATTAAACAAAAAATTTAAATGTTGCAAAATTTCTCATTATTGCGTTGAATATACACCTAAAGACATACATCTGCATCAAAATTATCAAGCAATTAAATTTTAATAAAGCAAGTCTGCGAAAATGTCATACCTTATTAAATGCTGCAAAAATGATTTTTTTTATTCAAAGTCATGGCAGCTTTTTTTTTGTGTCAAGCCAGAAAAAAAGAGATTTTTATTTAATATTTTTTGAGGATTTCACTTCATGCCTTTAAGCTATGAAGCTCCTTATTCATATACTTTCCACAACACATACACAAATTTCTTTTCATATTTCTTCCTTTTTTATGTTAAGTATAACAAAAGAGAGTATAAGGAAGAGGGAAATTCTTAAATCTACCTTATGCAATAAAGGCACATTGAATTAAATAACCTGAAGGAGAAGGAAGAGATTTTCAAATTGCTAAACAATGGTAATCTTCAGCTAGATCCAAAACGGATGTGAATGAGAGAAGGCGGCATAAGATGCCAAAATACCTTTATCTTTCGCCATTTTTATATTCATTTCTGTCATTTTTATTCATTATGAACCATAAACGAGCACACAGAAAAAAATGTAGAATGAAAGAAAAAACGTGAAATGTCCATTTAAAAAGCTTGTGCCGTGGTGGGTGAATAAAGGCTACGGATAGGGTCATAGAAATATTTTTATCATGTTGATGTGGGTGCATTGAGGAAGTTATTGCGAAATAGAATAAAATAAAATACTTTCTTACCTGCTTAGTTGAAACGAGTGCACGTAGCATATCAAAAATAGTAGGAAGAAGTCAGACTTCTTCTTTTTTTTTGGAAGAAAGCAACAGAGGAGAAGATTTGTTGGTCGAAATTACATTTTCTGCTCAGGAATGTAGAAAATTCGCAAGTCGCCGAAAAAGAAAATAAACCGTTAGCGTGTGTATGTGGATGTGTACTGAGCGGAAAGCAATTATTCTCGTATTTCTTCCTCAACTCTCACACATGCATGCTCCAAATACGTGACTATTTCACCTGAATTTCAATTTCTTTTTTTTCTCCTATTTTAATGTACGTCTGTCCATCTTCTTTTAGTTATTCTCCCCTTAATTCTTCCATTTTCTTATCAAAGCTATACACATACATGTTCAATTGTACACATTACTTCCAGCAAATTTTTTTTTTGCTTTAGTCCCAACTGTAATAGCTTTTTGTGTCTGTACATATTTCAGTATTTTATTTCATTTCTGCTCTATTATCATTTTATATGCCTTGTTGTCTGTACTATGTGCTGTTTGTTATAACATAACATCATCTACAATGTGCGTATAGAATTTCGTGCTCATTCGAAAGCAAAACTTGATTGCCTTTTTTTTTTGCTTCTTCTGTTATGCCTTCATAGTGTAATAAGTGTATGTAGTGTACACAAAAATATTTTGGAAGCTATCAATATATGCAATAAACGAACTCGAAGAAGCGTGAGGAAGATGGAAGATGAAAATGAACTGCAATGTCGGAGAAAATACAAATTCAATGATTTCATTATAAGGTAATGAATGTCCATTTTGGATCGATCTATTATGGGATGGAGATGGGAAAAGGAAAATAAGGAACATAAATGACTAATAAAAGTCTAAGTTGTATGTGAGACAATTTGTTATCATGATTGGAAATTAGCCATTAAGTAGCTTCTTGACACAAAAAATGAGATGATGGCAATGAGCATTGATGTTTTTTGTCAGATGTGACAATTATTGATTTTTTTTTCAGTTGTGGGTTTGCAGAAGTGGAGGGTCACTGATTTAAGTAAGGAAAGAGTGTTGACTCTTGCCAGGAACTTCTTAGGACTAGTAAGGATTAGGAGGAATCAGTGGAGACTAGGAGGGACTGTTAGAAACTAGTAGAGATTAGTAAGTATAGGAGGGACTTGAAGTAAGAGCTAAAAGGGATGAGTAGGGACTAGTAGGAAGAGAAGATGTTGACATAGACAGTATTGCATTTGGTATTGGTAATTGGCAAACGGAAGTCATCGACATAGTCAGCTTCAGGGGCTCTCTAAGGGAGGCTATGGATCACAATTGATCTGTACGGCCAGCGAAGTAAGTAAAGAGGGGACTAGTAGGAGGCAAAAGAAAATGGGGCTGGATTGGTCACACGTTGAGGAAAGACCCTGCAGATATAACACGACAATCTGTATTCT